TAAAACCACCGGAATTGTTCTTAATGGTAGATTACTTACAATATTTTAAGAAGAAAATTCTAATACAAAAATGTCGAGGCTATAATAGCTTTTAAACGGGAAGCGATTATATTTAACGAATGGCAGGGCTGAGATTTCGCGCGCTCAGGTACGGGAAAATGACAAATGCAAAAAGTGCTCCTATTAATGGGGCGCTCTTTTTGTGATATTATTTTCATATAAATTTGCAATATGTTTTCGCTTCTCTATGTATTGCATATTAATACATTTTTTCACAAATAAAAGATGTAAAAACTAAAGGCATATCAAAAATAATTCAAGTAAAAATTTGCATATTTCAACTTGAGCTGTCAAAGTCATCGATTAACATTACCATGAAGGTGTCTATGCTACGCTGTGCGAGACAAATAAATTGTAATAGAATTAATAGCTGTTTATTTTGTATTTTAGAACATTTTTGAATGTTCGTAACGAAATACAAATTGCAATGGTTTTAGTAAAAATTAATTTAAACAATAATTATAATTCAAACATATTTAATAAATCTTAATTTAACACACTTTAAAAAATTAACACTGTTAACATATTTAACGAATTTTAATAACAACAAAACAGTTCAACAATTTAAATAACAAACTAAAATATTTTTTTTACAATAAATGTTCAAAGTGTCCACCATCGCATTCAATACATAATTGTGCGGGTCGCAATAGACTGCTTGTTGCATTTATAATTATGTTTGGTGTTATTTCAACAATTTTACCTTACAATTCCTCGTGATTATTAACTGGCTATTTCTGTATATAAGTTTTTTAGTATGATCGCATATTAAAGAATATGTGTACAAGGAACCAATTAATACTCGCGAGGAATTACGAGACAAAATTGTTGAAGCAATCGCCACAACGACACCAAACATGATTAGAAACGCAACAAGCAGTCTACTGCGACGCGCACATTTGTGTATTGAATGCGATGTGGGACATTTTGAAAATTTATTATAAAAAATATTTTAATTTGTTTTTAATCTGTTAAACTGTTTTGTTGTTATTAAAATTCATTAAATATGTTAAAAGTGTTAATTTTTTAAAGTGTGTTAAATTAAGGTTTATTAAATACGTTTGAATTATAATTATTGTTTAAATTGATTTTTATTAAAACCATTGCAATTTGTATTTCGTTACGAACATTCAAAAATGTTTTAAAATACAATAACAATGTTCTAAAATATAAACATATAAATAAACAGCTATTAATTCTATTACAATTTATTTGTCTCGCACAGCGTAGCGTGGACACCTTCATGGTAATGTTAATCGATAATTTTGACAGCTCAAGTTGAAATATGCAAATTTTTACTTGAATTATTTTTGATATGCCTTTAGTTTTTACATCTTTTATTTGTGAAAAAATGTATTAATATGCAATACATAGAGAAGCAAAAACATATTGCAAATTTATATGACAATAATATCATAAAAAGAACGCTCCATTAATAGGAGCACTTTTTGCATTTGTCATTTTTCCATACCTGAGCGCGCGAAATCTCAACCCTGCCATTCGTTAAATATAATCGCTTCCCGTTTAAAAGCTATTATAGCCTCGACATTTTTGTATTAGAATTTTCTTCTTAAAATATT